ACAGATTGCCTGCAGACAAGTTTTTCACTGGACAGAAATGGCCGAGTGCTAGGTATCCCTGCCGTGTTCAGTCATTAGCTAACTGCACAGAGCATAGTTTTGACTCACTCACAGTGGATCCCAAAGGCACTGCTATTGGATGCTGTCAGCTAACTGAACTCCTCACAGATGACTGGCAAGTTTCTTCTAGAAGGGAGAGCCAAGTGAGGTACCTTCCTTGCTGCTACAAATTCCATTTTAATTTTTCTATTGGCTTTTTAATTGTATCTCTTTGCATTAATTTTTAGTGGTCACTCTCAGGATTACCATATATGTTTTTAACTTTTCACATTCTATCTAGAGTTAGTATTGTACTGCTTCATGTCGAGCATTGGAACATTGCAACAGTGTAGCTCCATTTACTCCTCCCCATCCTTTGCGCTGTTGTTGTCATGTGTATTACATCCATTTATGTTATAAACCCCACAACACAGTGTTAGAATTTTTATTTAAATAATTGTGTGTCTTTTAAAGAATTTCAAATCGCTATGTGTCTGTATGTGTATGTGTCTGTTTTTTGTGTTTACTCACGTTTGCCATTTTTAGTGATCTTCATTCCTTCCTGTAGATCCAAATAACCGTCTACTGTCATTTACCATTATCCTGGAGAACTTTCTTCAACATCTCAAGTAGCACAGATCTGCTGGCAATTAAGTCTCTTAGGTTTTGTTTTTCTGAAAATATTTTCCTTTAGCCTTCATTGTCTAAGAATATTTTTGCTGGATATAGAATTCTAGTTTGACAGTTGTTGTTTTTCCTTTTGGCACTTTAAAGATGTCATTCTCTTATCTTCTAGCCTCCATTACTTTTGATGCAAAGTTAGTATAAGTATAGTTTTCTTCTGTAGGTAATATGCCATTTTTCCCTGGTCGTTCTTAAGGTTTTGTCTTTATCGTTGAATTTTAGTGGTTTGAATGTGAAGTGCCTTGGCATGGGTTTTTATTTTTTGTTTTTTTATTTATCCCATTTGGAGTTTGTGGTGATTTTTGAATTTGTGAATTTATGTCTTTTTTAAACAAATTTTAGAAATTATGAGTTAGTATTTCTTCGAATATTTTTTTCTGCCCATTCTCTCTCCTCCTAGCCTTCTCAGATTTCAGTTACACATATGTTAGACTTTATGCTGTTATATCCCACTGGACCCTGAGGCTCTATTCATTTTTAAAGTTTTTTCTCTCTTCTTCAGATTGGATAATTTATATTGTTCTATCTTCAAGTTCACTAACACTTTTTTATTATTTTTTTCCCCAATCTGTTGTTAGGTCCATCCAGTGAACTTTTTTTTCAGATATTGTATTTTTTAGTTTTAGAATTTCCATTTGGTTCTTTTTTATAATTTCCGCTTCTCTGCTGAGATTTCTTTTATATCCTTTAGAAGAGTTATAATAGTTGCTTTAAAATCCTTGTCTTTTAATTCCAGTACCTGCATCGTCACAGAATTGGTCTCTAAGGCTTACCTTTTCTTTTGAGGATGGATTACATTTTCCTATTTCTTTGCTTATCTAGCAATTTTGGAACGTACCTTAGGCATTGTGAGTGATACGTTGTAGAGATTCTGCATTCTGTCCTGGACCTTTAAAGAGTATTGATTTTCTCTTTCAGCAGGCAGTTAACTCGGTGCAACTCAAATTCCAGTTTTGTCTTCCCTGTGATGGACAGCAGCAGGAAGCTATTTGGTTCTTTTTACCTTAGCTGGGCTGCTCTGAGTCTACTTCACACATGTACAGTATTGGGATCAGCCAGAGATTTGCTCAGATTCTGTGGACTGAATTTGGGGCTTCCCCTTGGTGGCTATCTTCTCTCTGGGATTTCCTCCCTCATTTTCCAACTGCTGTCATCTCCCTGAACTCTGTCCTCTGATCTTCAACCAGTAATATGGTAGGTTTCTATCTGAGGTCAGGCCACCCTATGGAACTAACAGACTGAGCCTGTCCTTAGATGAAAAACTGTAAAATATGGGTAATTTATCCAGAGCCATTCTTCCAAGTGTCAATCCCCCTTTAGCTTCTGTCTGCTCTTGGTTACTCTCCAGAGCCTTCAGATAGTTGTTGTTGTTGTTTAATGGTTTATCCAGAGTTTATAATTGTTATCTATGAGAAGGTTGGTGTGATATGAGTTACTTTCATGACCAGAGGCAGAACTCTGTTAGCTCACTTTACAGATGGATTTAAAACACACGCACGTACTACAGAAGTTTGAATCCTTTACCCAACGTCCTACAGCTGGTAAGTGGCAGGGCTGTGGTCTGAACACAGGCAAGTTGGTTCCAGAGTCTTAGAATTTCTTCCAAGGGGAGACTTTAATGGTGTGAATTTTCAGGACAATGACAGGAGTATAGGAAATACTCTGGGACTTATGAGCCTTATGGTGTTAATTTATTATGCACTGGACCAGTCTCAAGATCTCATTACCTAGTGGATACTTCATATGTCTTTGGGAGTTTACGTTATTTTATGTACAAGTTGCATGAAAAGATCATGTTGGTCTTGGTTAACTGCAAAATAGATCTTTAGTTACAAAAAATCCCCTATTTTCAGGGTCCTGTGATCTTGGGCTCCTTGGGCCATCTTACTTAGTAACTGGTGAGGTTTATCATGTTGTTCTTTTAGTGATTAAAATAAAGAAAACTTTTGAAGGAAAGTAATATCAACAGTAATGTAAAGTATGTATCAGAAATATTTATTGAAGAAACTCATAATCGCAATTATGGGATAGTTGACTTTAAAAAATGTAAGTCTAAGATTAATTTCGCTGATGTAAACCTTAGCCCCTGGAAGCATAACAGTAGGGCCAAGCCTGAGCAATACTTGGGTAGAGTTTTTGCTCTTTCTTGATTGTTTTTCTTTTTCTTCTCTGGCCTTAGTCAGTTCCAATTAACATTTATCAAATGATTAATTTCATCTTATTCCTCTTACCCCTTGATTTTATCTTCACTTTAAATTTTTGTGTCTGGCTGGCTCATATTGGTTTTGTCACAGTTCATAAGCTGATTTGTAAAGTAATGAAGTCTCATTCATGTATGTTACTTTCAAACTACAGGAAAAGGCCTGTGTATTTGCTTTTGGAATTCTCTCAGCATCCTACACCAGTGCTCAGATGCCATACTTAAGCTGACTGGCCAGTAAAGAGCGAGGGTTCAATACTTGATTGATTGACGGTTGTGAATTCCAGCCAGTCAGTTCTGGGAAGGTGGGTTCATCTTCTGAGTGAAATAAAACTGAGTCCTTGAAGGCCACGATAAAGACTGTGGCTTTCGTCCTAAGAATAACGGGAAGCTATGCAGCGTTTTAAGCAGCTGAGTGGCAAGCCCAGATTTAAATTTTTAAAATAATTGGTCTGGATGTTTGTGGAGCAGTTCAGTATAACCATGTCCTAGAGTGTGGAAATTCATATAAATATTGACAGTTTAACTCAGGGCTGCGATCTAGAAGAACCGATAGCCTGAGTGGTCTTCAAGCAGCTCTCCTGAGTGTTGTTTCTCCCAACTGCAGTATTGAAAAAAGTCGAGAAGCAGAAAGTTTGAGATTGATTTTTTTTTTAAAGTTTTTTGGTCAAGGGCCTGGAATGTGAGTATTTTGCATTTCTGATAGGAGACATTTTATTTTTATAATGAAAAGTTGAGGCAATGAAAATATGAAGGAATGAGAGAATTGAATAGTATAAAGCTACTAAAAATGGCATCTATATTTTATGCCTATGTGGAAATGGGGATGTCATAATTTGTTAATTTTAAGAAACAAAAATGCAATATACATGTTTAAAATTATAAAAATAATCATGTTTTCTCTTAACAAAAATGGAGATGAAACTTGTTATACTTTATTATCCACCAAATTCTCGTGCTTAACAGCTGTTAAAAAGTTTTGTTGCTTAAGGTGAGAAAACAAGCCTAATATTATTTCAGTAATTGCTGGAAATCTGAGTGAAAAGCACTGAGATGCTGCGAAAATAGCAACATTTTCAAGAGACTAAAAACTTTCATAGGAAAATGTTCTGATATATTTCCTCTTCTTAAACATTTATGGAGATCGAGAAAATTTTTAATGTGTCTTAAAGGAATTGACAACTCATGAATTGAATACAGCCTTTCACTCTGGCTTCAGCCGCCGTTTGTTGATAGAAGTTTACAGCAAGGTTATTAATGACCTGTTTGATTGATTTCCCAAAATTTTTATAGGATTTTATGCTTCTTGTATGCAACTTGTTAAATCACAGCACTCATATTCTTCATTAAAATAAACATTTAAGCATGCATATGTAAAACAAACATTGATGGAAAAGGGAGAGATTTCTCAGAAAAAAAAGAGTCGCTGAAAGTTGCATTGTGCCCTGGGCAGTAAGAGGAGTATCAAGTTACTCTGTTTTTGTAAATAGTGTCAATTCTGCATTCTGGGCTGAAAAACTGGCAAATGACAGCTCTCTCTAGGATTTCCTGAGGCCATCTGTACCATTTTAGAGAATAAATCATAAATAGACCTTTGAACTAAGACAGTCTCGCTGGACCTATCCTTTTGCAACTGACTTCCAGTCTCAATGGGATATTGAAGGGGAGGCTCGATAGAATAAACAGTGGAATCCTTGTCCGGGAATGACTGCCTGGCAATTGTTTCGTGGAAAACAGGGAGGGGTGGGGGACAACAAGCCTGCTCTGTTCACTGGCTCTTTAATTTAGATTACCAATGATAAAGCCGGGGCTACGGCTAACGAAAGGTAGGATGCATACGCAGAAACATTAGTGCTAATATGCTGCAGAAAGACAAGATAAATCAGCCCAGCTCTCATACATCACTGAGGGAGAAGCTGATTGCAACTTGACCATGTGCCTGAGTAGTCCCATCAGTGAGAAGAGCAGAACATGGATTAAAAAAAACTAGAGTGTACCCTTAGGGCTACTGCCGTGCTGGACCTGGGAGAAGTGTCTGGTGTAAGTTTCAGCTTGTTTTCTCCACGTATTTACCAGTGTGTTCCCATGCAGGGAGCTTGTTTCTCTTTCTGTGTTTTCATGGAAGCCTCAAGCATGTTTATTTACAGCTGTAGACTTCATTTTGTGTAAATGTAATATCAGCCTAATAAAGTTCTTGACAGAGAACAGTTTAGCCCAGTGTTTATCCAGGAGAGAAATGTGACAAAGTGATGGTTATCATTACTGTCTATAGGAAGGCTGTGGGTGAGTTTTGTCTTTTTGTTTCTTGTTTTGTGGGGAGGTGAGGGTTAGAGGGGTAGATTTTATACGAAAAACTCAGTTCTTTTGCCATTCATTTAAAAAAACGTATTGGTAACACAGCATTTTGCTCCTCCTGTGGTCTTTTGTTTTGAAAAATTGTGTTTGAATATGTGAGCCAGACTGCTCAAAATGCCTTATATCTTATAACTGGGATGTTTGTATTGTTTGATATCAGTTATTAGACAAAATAATCATAAAGGGGTGTTTTCTATGGACCTTTTTATATTCCAAAATTAAGTACAGATGGTAATTTCCAGCAGTTTTAAAAATTTGTCAATTATTTAATTTAGCATCACTTAAGCATCTGCACAGGGAGAAAGCTGAGATGGTACAGAAACTGAATAAGCATTGATTGCTCGTCTGAATTGCATCTTTAAAGTTTTTGCCTCAAATCTCTGATTTCACAGTTTATTTTTACCAAATTAGATTATCATATTTCATTATCGAGACTGCGAATGGGTGGAGCTCTCTCGGATATTCTGCATTTCCCGTTAGAACAGTGCGTAAGGCGCCCGCTGATTGTTACTCTGAGGGAAATTCTTATGCCTGCTCACCGAGGACTGCTTAAATAATGCATGGGCCAGAGCGAGGCAAGATGGAATTTATGGCCCAGACGCTGAGTTCAGGCTTTGTTCAGAGGAGGGACTACATAAGTGTGAGCATGCAGCACCCTCCGAGGGGAACGGCGTAACGGAATGAAATTAGTGACCACATGGTGCTGTCCACATGTTATTTCAAAACAAGCCTGAAAACAGTCCATGAGCCTATAGAGTGGTTTGAGGGAGGGAAGAAGGGGAAACTTGAAGAGTCAATTGCGAACAGAATCCCCTGACCGAAGATTCCATGGGACAGACACAGGAAGTGACTGCTATACAGGGAGCAGGGTGGCCCTAGAGAGAGTGGATGTTTGACAGATGAAAAGCACCCTGGGAGTCTTGTGAGGAAAGAAGAAACCTTGACCAAACTGCAGCATGCTGTGTACTATGTCTTCCATCTTGTCCTAATTAGAGGAATATGTCTGCTGAATCCTAATCTCTTTAATTGTTGATAGAGCAGGCATGTGATTTGCTATAAATACATATGAGCATTCATTTCTGAAATAATGGCTGTTGCCAAATATATTAGACCGATAGGAGTGCTGGACTAGGGAAGGCTGTGCTGAATAGTGGAGTTTGGGAGGTAATGGACCAGTGGAGAATCATTGCACAGCTGGCCCAGCAGCTGCACCCAGTGCTCCGTCAAGTTTGGCCTCTAATTTCCTTGAACTTGTCTTGTTTGCCAAAATGATGAACGTGCAAGAACTTGTTTCAAATGAGCCCACTGCAAGCGAAAAAGACCCTTTCCAAGGAGTCTTCATCGAGGTGTGTAATCAATGGCAGCAGTGGCCAACTGAGGTATTGATTAAGCAGTGGGAAGTTTGAATAATCATATACATAAAAACCAAAGGCAAAGTTGTAGAATGAGGTAAGCTGGCAGAAGACCAGAGTACATTAAAAGGCTGTGTTGGGTCATCGCTGTCCTAAGTAAAGGATATATGGAAAAATCCCGTAATAATATCCAGCAACAGCTATCTTGTAGTTAGGAAAAAATAAATAGGACTGTGGGTTGGACGGCAGCCCAGTAATCTCAGTGTCTTTTTTTCCTAACAGTGTATTGTTCTGATATTCTTTGGGACTGGGTCAGGAGGAAGTGTCAGAGAGTGCATTTTATATTAAGAAGCATCCTATGACTAAACAATGCAATTTGTGGCAAGCCAAAATGAGAGGATAGCAAGGACTCTCCTTCCATTCCCTGGTCCTGGCTTGAGCAAGTATTTATTTAGCATGTGCTGTGTATCCAGCATGTTCTAGATACATACTCCAAACAACCAAATTATAAATTCTTTGAGAACAGATATTTGGATTCATACTTCTCTTGTATAAATCCCATGTCTTGAAAACCAGTGGCCTTGAAATGGTAATAATTGCAAGTCTGTCTAGTTCCTTGACTTTGAAGAGATTAAATATCAAACTTTTGTTTTGCAAATGCTTTATTTTCCTGTTACGACAGAGATGACACTTCCCTTTTCAGATTTGAGGACTAGTGACTTGAACACTTACAAGTTAGATAATTTTGGACAAGATAACCTCTGGGAGAGTCAGTTTCCTCATTTGTGAAATGCAGAAAGTGACACTCATGCAGGATTGTGAGAATGAAGAGATGTGCCTACATGCATAGGAAGTGCTTTCCTGCCCTCACAGGATATAAGCAGGGTCATTTACCATAGGGATTGAGTGTGTGGTGGGGGTAGGAGTGGGGAGAGAATGAGCAGGGGTGGCAAGAAGGCTGGCTATGAGGGTGTAACAGAACCTTCGATGAGAATGTGACTGAGACAGGATGGTGCCAGTGGGAACACGGAGAAAAGGATGGATCTGTATATGTTTTAAAGGGAAAATTGACAGAATGTGGCAACTGATTATATTAAAGTAGGATGAAGAAGAAGACGGAAGTTGTAAGGAAGAAATAGTCATGGTGCTAAGGGAAGAGATTATGGGTTTGTGATAATGGCAAGATATGGTGTATGTGTGTGTAAGTGTGTGTGTTCTCCAAAGCCCCAAAAGCTAAAACAATACAGTCCTTCAGGGACTATATTAGAAACATAAGAAACTTGAGAAAGGAGGAAATTGGAGTGCCTAGTTAACTTATGTAACAGAAAAGGAAAAAAATCAATAATAAACCAATAATATAGGACTATTGCTGACAATAGAGTGAGAATTCAAAGAAATTGCTTAAAATGGCAAATCTATGTTTGGAGTTTTTCCCAGACAAGACCCACAATCATCAGATAATAAGGCTCTTCTGCAATCTTGGAACTTATTTAAGTTTTCCTGAGTTAAAAAAAAAATACCACCGAGAGGATACAAATAGCGTCAGGGTTGGGAAGAAAAAGAGCATGGGGAATGGAAATTCTCAAAATAGCTTGGTTTTAAAGAAGAGATGGGAGCCAAAAGATGGCTGGTTGACCTTTCAGAACGTAACCATTCATTATGACTTGTCAGAAAGTTTGGCAACTGTTATTCCTTAAATAACATATTGTGATTTTTCAGGAAATACAAGCAGGACTCAAAACTATGCCAAATCCCCAACTGGCAAATAGGTTGTGGTCCAAAAGCTCATTTGCAAATCCTTTATCAGAACAATGTTGCAAACATCTTTAGGCTACTTTTCAGAAGTCTGCCTGACTCATCCTATCATCCTATAGTAGAAATCATGTACATTTGCGATAAAAAATTAATATCAAAAAGCTTTTAGGTTAATAATTAAAACATAAGCAATACCATAAGAAAGGAAAATGTTTTGAATGCCAGTGCTTGGGGAAATACAGGTTAATTGCAAGATGGTATGGGCTGTGGCTATTTTAGAATTTGTATTCACTTTCACTGACTTTAAGAGACTTTGACTTCTTTAATTTTAAAATGTGAGGATTTCCTTGTCCTCATTTCAGGCGTATCATGAATTCTACCTTTAATAATATTTGCCATGACCAAGGATTGCTTTCACAAATTGGAAAAGTAAAGAGAATGAGGATGAAAGAAAAAAGGGGGAGAAAGAGATACCTGATGTAGCTGGGGCAAAAGGTAAAAGAGAGAAGAGAAAGAGCAGGTTTAAAAATGAGTGAGAAATTGCATGAGGGAAGTTAAGGGAGTTCTGAACATTGGAAAGAGGGATATATAAGAATGTGTATGTTTCTCTTGAAGAGTAAGAAATAAGGGAGAATTTGGGGCTTAATAACTCCCTGGATCAACCTCTAGGGGGTGCTTAACACTCAGAGAAGCTGTTTCTTGAGTAGGTGATGCTGCTCATGTGACTGGCAGACCTGAGGAGTCTCCAAGGAACCATTGGTCCCCTTGAGTTTCCCCCTCTTAGCCCCCTCTTGCCTTCGCTTCTTTCCCAATTCAATGTGGATACCATGGCCTATCATTTCAACCACCTCTTACCAATATTTTCAGTCCTCCCATTCATCCACTCAGTAAAGATGTATTGAGTGATTCCTACTATTGAGTGATTCCTACTATTGTCAGGCATTGTAGTATTAGATACTTAGAAATGAACCTTCTAAGTACTGGATACTTAGAGTGCCCTTGACACTTACCAGGCCAACCAGTTGTGTACTTTCTCTTGCTTCCAACCATACTGCTGAGCACAGCTAGAGAAAATCAGACCACTGTCCAGGTTGATGCTGTGATAAATTTATGACCACCAGTCTCAGTTGGGCCTGTCAGTATATAAGTCAGCAATCCCTGTATGTTTCCTTAATACACTCCTGCCGTTCTCTCCAACACCTATTTGAAGACTTTTCTCCATTTGCAAATCTATTACCTGCATAACCTGAATAAAACCAATTACGTTGAGGACAGTTCAATATGGTGAAAGTCAAATCTGGCTCCAGAAAGCCTTGGAAGACAATGGAGGCCCTCACTGAAAATTTCTTGAGGAGTCAACCAAGACCAAGCGGGGAACTAATCTGAGAACACATAGCTAAATTTCCTAAAAATTGTTTTTACGTCTTTCTCCCCATAGTCCAGTTCTTCATTGCAGCTAGCAATTTATTCTCTTCCTTTGTCCTCCTCCCCTGCCCCCACACTAATTCACTTCATCTTCTTACTCCTATCTTCTCTCATTCCTTCGCAGGTAGAGCAAACTAGTCTATCTTGGTGTCTGCCATTTTCCTCCCGCCTCTTACCTCAGTCAGCACAAGTCATAGATACTTCAGCAAACAAATTCTCCTTTTTCTGAGTGAGAGGAGGAAGGCATTGCAAATACTGGTGATTTAATATATATATATATATTTTTTTTTTTAATTGTCCATCTGTATTCACCCATTCTACCTTTCCTCAGGTTAAAATAAAAGAAGTTTTCCTCTTCTGATTCCTCCACTTGTATTCTGTACCTCATCCGCCACCATTTCCTTGGGATGCTTACTAGATGTACAATTTCCTCTCTATCTTGTATTTTTCCCCTTTTCATCTCTAGCGGATCCTTCTCGTCAGAGTGTACGCTGGGTTCCAGCTACTCTGAACTTAAAAAAAATAAGACAAAACAAAACCTTCGTCTTCCCCACATACTCTTTTGTCTACTCTCCTAACTTTTCCTCCCCTTTTATAGCCAAACTTCTTAAAGAGATTGTCTGCATGTGTTGGGTCCATTTCCTCCCTTCCCAAAGCTCCTCAATCCACTATGACTTAAATTCCGTCCCAGCCACTTCGAGGAAACCCGTCTAGCGAAAGCCGTCCACGTCTTACTTGTTCTGAATGTGAAAGAGTCACAGTCCTCAGTCTCTCTGCAACACCTGACGTCGTAGATCACCCTCTCTTTGAAATATAGCTTTCCTCTAGTTTCTTTGTGCTCTTCTATTTCTTGGTCTCTGTGGGCTCATCTTTCTCTACATGCTATTAAAATGTAGGTGATATTCAGGGACACTGCTCTCTTTTGACTTTAGGAGGAATAGGGAGAGGGTCCCATCCGTGCCTGAGCCTTCCGTTAGTATTTACATGCTATTGACTTCCATTGTTAGGTCACCCCAGCCCTCACCTCAGGAGGCAAGACACAGATTTCTGCTTGGAGATCTCCTCCAAACTCAACTAGGATTTGACCTCAGAATGGGGCAGTCATGTGGGGGCCTCTTCTCTGATTCAGAAGAGCTGAATTGCTCTTCTCTCCCAAAACATCTCCCTTAAACACACCCACCACCACCAATTCTGTTGTATTGATCTCCTTTGGGGCTGAAACACTAACTCTAAAGTCTTCTTATATTCTTTCCTACTCTCTTTATAGTATAAACTTCATGGAATTTATCCTTCTAATTAAACCAAAGTTTTGGAATTCAAAAGCCTTTTCTGTCCCCAAACTGGTTATTGAAATAAAAAGTGATTTGATTTTCTGTGCCTTAGATTAAAAAAAAAACTATTTAGATACTCAGTTGGCTTCTTAGTTTCCTTCAGGTTTTTTGTGTCCTTGGGGTAATTCAGTGATCCTGAGTCAATGCAGGGGGCAGAGGGGCAGAATGTCACAGGGGCAATGAGATACATACTGTTTAATGTTTTAACCTACACTGGAAAGTAAAATGTAAATGAGTTGGTTTTACTTGTGGTCCAAGGGATCATCCAAGAAAAAAGCCTCTTGAACCTAAACATGAAGGTCTAAGAAAATACCCCTTTGCTTATCTCAGCAGATTCCTCGTCATCTGAAATGTGCCAATATCATTTTTCAACTGGAAATGATTGGGAGATCCTAATTTTTCAGTACTTCATGAGTAAAATAGATTTATGACTGAGGATATGGCTATATATTAGGTCTTTATAATAAATTGTGGTGAAAGAGAAAACTAAATCTGTTGGCCTTGTCCAGTTTCATCCTGATGAAATAGACACAAATATTCCAGGTCAATCTATGAAGGTAAAGGGGGTAACATTTAAGAAATTGTTTTGAACCTCTGAGCTTTTAACTACATTTTGGAAAGGTTTCATGTGACATGAAGGGAGTCTAGTGATTTGGGTCAGAAAAATAAATTTGTACATTGCTTATTTAACATCTTTAAAGCCATTTTTGTTGAAGAATATAGGACATATTTGAACTTCCATGAGAAAAAGAAAATAGAATATGTTTCCTAAATTCAAATTGTATCATACCTAAGTTAATCCACATTTTAACTGTTCATCAATGACAGAGAAACTGGAGACGGTGTGACATGCTTCAGTTGTTGGGTTCTTAGCATTCAGGCAAGCAAGTGCATTTTGAACAGATTGGAATCAAATGAACAGATTATTGGACCACCTAACAAAACAGGCATCCCAGTAATCAATCTCTGAAATAATAAAAGCATGAATTAAATGTTTTTTGATCAATATTATTCACACAACTCATATCCTTAATGATAATGCTTAACTGAAAGAAAGACCTTTCTTCAAGGTTCATTTGCAATCCACAGAAAACTCTAAATTTGTTTTGACATCCCAGTGCTTCTGGAAAATACGAATCCTGTATTTCATTTTGTGGAATTAGAGCAGACTGCATGATAACATGCTCTTACATAGCACAGGCCACCTCTGCCTTTTCATTCTAAGTTTTAATAGCAGACGTAGTGGGACTGGCAGAGGGGAAGGAGCCTTTGGAGTGAGGGGAGAAGAGCTGTGTGTATAATTCTTTTCCATTAATTGTGCTTGAGCCTTTTTTAAAGGTGTGCCTCTTACACAGAGATTCAAACAATGTAGGCGACTATTTGTCTGAAGCTGATCCTCCCTATTAATTCAGAGAACAGAGTTATAGTTACAGCTTCATTAACTAAATGGGGTTCTAGAGTTTTTCCTCTTCTAAAAGGACAATGTAGGATGTGCTTTGAATGCTTAAAAAAAACAACTAAATTCTAAAATTCAGTGGTGGAACAAATAAAAATTTCTAATAAGTCACATTTGGAGCACTGCAGAAGGAAAGGTCTGTTGACATGGTCTTCCTGAGATAACTAGTGTCAAGGCAGATCCATCAGCAGCCTGAGCTATCTGTGCAGTGGAGTGGCATCTTGAACTACAAAGACAGACAACTCGTCTCCACCACGTATTGCTGCCAGCAAATTTAGCAAGCTTGCAACATGAGTCCTGTGGCGTTCAGCTCATTCTAGGCAGTTCTTCCAGAGACCTGAACAATGCCGTAATCATTTACCTGTGTTATTTTGCCTTTAGAACTGACTGATGCTCCACAGGGGTTTCTGATGGCGGTTCAGAAATTGGAGAGTAGATGGCTGGAGAACCATTTTGCCAGATCCATACAGCAGTCGAGAGTTGGTCCTAAGTTTGAATAAAACAGAGGCTACATTATCCTGCCCCTGATCAACCACAATTGATAGCATAAAACTAAGATCTTTCATTTTTTTGGTCATTTTTGAGGCATAACAAACACGGCATTCCCCAGCTAATAGTATTAGCCAACTAATTTCTTTCAAGTGTGAGAAGGGGTTATAGAATCTTTGTTCTTTGAGATGTTGCTCAGTTGGAGGGACTGGCTTTAGTTACCCTGTATCCCTTTAAGTTACTCATTTGCATGTTTCCATTCATTGATTGACTCCTACTGTGTGTCAAGCATTATTCTAGGCACAATCTTTAGAGCAGTGAGCAAGACATATGATGATGGTAAAGTTTAAACCCAAGAAAGCCTCTTCAAAGGCACTTTTTTGACCCAAGAGCTCAATATCATCACTTCATAATGTCCATTGCTTTTGTGGAAAAGGAAATTTTTCTTTGTCTCAGTCATGTACCGTAGAGGGAACAGGAGCTTTTGGGTCCTTTGTTTGTAAAATTTCCGAGATGCTTCTTCCACTGGAGGTTACACAAGGACATTTAGGACATGACACAAGCTAGGTTTCAACCTTGTCACTCATTCTTAAACATGAACAATACTTGAAAGAGTTGAAAGTAGGGTAGCCTCCTGAAGAGGAACAACTCTTCAGATAAGTTTTTCTAAATGCCGAGTTATCTACTTTTGGTCCAACTGAATATTATGATTCCTGAGTTTTTGCATACTTTAGAAAGGCTTGATTTCCTGCTAAAGTGTTTGCCAAAAGATGAAAAGTCCCACAGGAAAAAACACCCAATCAAGGGCCTGGCATCTTGTAGGTGCTTAATAAGTATTTATAGTCCAGAATCGGAGGCCAACCAGAACCTTATCAGAAACCAAAGGTTGAGTTAAAAACAAAACTGGCTTTCTTCCCCCTAAGTGAATCCCTAGAATGATTCATTTCCGTTTCTGTAAAGTATGAGTACTAATCCTTAATTCATGGGGCTTTAGGGGGTCTAAATAAGATAACACTGGACAGTTCTTCATAAACAGTTAAGTTCTGTTCAACTAGAAAATTTATTATGGGGAAAAAAACCAAGCCTGAGACCTCGATAAATTCTTATGTGTTGTGATCTTGTTGAATGGCGGCGACTTTTTTTTTTTTTTAAATACGTACTGTTTTGAACCTCTCAAATGAAAATTTTGAAAATCTTTTTGTTAAAAGTTCTTTCCCTGTGGGTAATTTTATACCTGTAAAAAGCAAAGGAAGCCCTCATCTTGAATAAAGTTAATGCTAGATTTTGTGTATTGAAAAATCACAGAAGATTGGTTTCTGATATTTAGATATCTTCACCCATGCTGCTGTTTGGAACATGGGGCCCAGGAGTGTATTCAAAACAACTTGACTCACTCATCAGGTTGTCAGCCCAGTCTCTAAGCCATTTGGCCCCTTACTGCATTTTGGTGATTTTTATTAAGTTGAACTGTACAAATTTGCTGATATTCAACCACTTTTGACCTACAAAAATGGCAATTTCATATGTTCAATCTAATATAATTATATTTTTGTTATTGAATGAGCGTTCATTTATCTGCTCAGTCTGACATAGACATCTGGAGGGCCGGGATTGTGTCTGATGTGTAAATTGAAGCCCGGAAGTCAGAGCTCAGACATTTTAAAATATGAAATGTACACGTAAAATGTCTGTTCATGTGAGCTGCAGACACTATTACTGACACCCTTCGTGGAGACAATGCAATGGAAGTCATAGGTGCTTAAGAGTTTGAGGACACCCTAAGGGTGTACTCCTCACTCTCAGGGAGTGTTCAGCTCAAACTAGGTGCAACCCCAGGAATTCTGGTACCCTGAGTGTGCTGCATCCCCCCCAGTCCCCTCCTTATCCCTTAGTGGCACTTCCTTCCCTCATTACCTCACTTCCCTCTGCTAATGTCACCATTGTGCATTTACTGCTGCTTTTGCTTGCAGCTTACCCAATTGGAAGGGTTTAGGATATCCTACTGCACTGCTTTTCAAGACTTTTTTTATTGTATCCCATAGTGAGGTAACCCGTAGTAGGAATACATTTTACATCACGACCCTATGTACTCTACTGTATTACATATATAGATATATCCGTATCTATATATTCTGCTTACCTTGCCAGGCCACTTCCCACTTTTGAGAAGCTGTCCATCATGTCGTTTTTGAAATGAGGATCCAATTAAACTTGTGGAGGCTTTCATGCTTCGTCGGAGAGGGAAGAAAAATGCCAGCTCAATCTTTAAGCTTTTTATCCCTCTTAAGCAGCTGTTGTTTGTATCGGTTTATGTTAGGATTTGTTTTCCTATTCCTGTTTCTGAGAGGCCACAGCCTTGCAGACCATCCCCAAGATGGGGCTATGGCTTCAGGAACAAAGTTCTGAAACCCATATAATTAATTCTAGGCTGTAATGGCTCATTTCAGTTGCCGTGGAATCGTTTAGAATGACCATGAATGTCACCAGCAATCTGCCACTTTACGCATGGATGTAGCCGGGTGAGGTTATTTATCTTTATACCTCTTTCTTATCCTAAAATGACTGTATCATTTTATCCTATCTATAAATTGAGATTAAAGTTTATCAAAAATCCTATGTAAAGCCATCTAACTAAATGTGGACTAGAGATTATGCTAATAGAATCAGCAGTTTGGGAATATTTAGGTTTTGATCAAAACTTTTGAAATATTTTGACTTTAACTCAATTATAAAATTTGTTATAAAACTTGTATTTTATTTCTATTAGAATTAAGAAAAATAAACACCACTTGCCTGCTTTAAGATTCAGATAACCTACTTATATGTGGCTTTTCTAGTGGCCCGCTACTTTTAACTCACAGAGAGTCACATATATTTTCTAGGGGCAAAAAGAGACAGTTACTTCTCTCTGTAAGGCCCCATCATTATCAGACTAGACTCTCTCGGGGCTGACACCCTCCTAATCAGGCAGGAACGAGAGGCACGAATAAGACTTTCTCATTCGGGTGACTTCGGAATGGATTCAGAATGCTGCTCAAAAGGGAAACTTCTGAATTCCCTTGCCTTCCATTTTCCCTGATTTTTGAGGTGTAGAGGCTCTCGACAGAGTGTTTTGATGGGTACGGGTGTGCTGTCTGCTGGTGAGAGAGCTGAGTCAAGTGAAATGTGGCAATCATAGGAAATTTCTTTTCAAGAACTCAGAGAAATGCCTCCCAGAGTCCAGGGTTAGGTGGAATGTAGCGGAGGGCAAGACACAGAATTGAGATGATTTACCTCAGCTTCTGACCCGTTTTATATCCTTGAGTAAATCACTTAACCCCTCTGTGCCTGGGCTTTCAATTGTAAATGGAAATAAGGCCCCCATTTCATAGACTTCACTTAAAGGGAGAGGATCCACGTTGACAGAAGGAGGAGACTAATTGCTTTTGGCACTTGATGCGGTTCTAAAGAGGAGTTGCAACAATATTTTGAGATGACAGCATTATCGAAATAAGCAAGTGCTCGTCCAAGGCAAATGTATTTTAAAGCTAGTGTAAGTCCTTTGGATCCACAAAACATTCATTCAGAACTTTCCGTTTTACTCTTATGTGGTTGTTTAATCCTCCCAATAGTGCTGGGTGACAGTTGGTTCTTGTCCTATTTACGATTTTATGAATAAAGAAACTGAGGCTTAGAGAAGTTGATCACCTTGTTTCGAGTCACACAGCAGGGAGGTAGCAGAGCCCAGGTTCAGGTCTTCTGATGCTGGGTCTACCATTCTTCTCCTGGCACATCGCCTGCCTTCCATGTGATAGTAAAAGATAATAGAGGGCCCGGCCCTGTGGCCTAGTGGTTAAGATCAGCGTGCTCTTCTTCAGTGGCCTGGGTTCTGTTCCTGGGTGCAAAACTATAGCACTCATCAAGCCATGCTGTGGTGGCATCCCACATACAAAATAGAGGAAGACTGGCACAGATGTTGGCTCAGGGCTAGTCTTCCTTAGCAAAAAAAACCCACAAAAAGATAATAGAACTTCTCTATATAAAATAAATCCAATTTCTGAGAAAACTGGATAATTGAAATACCTATATTTAGTTTCTAAATTGCATCTCAGTTTCTAAATTTTCTTTATTCTCTACTGGAGTCAACTATTTATCTTTAATGTGTAGATTTTCATCTTGCTTCAGCCTTATTGTTGCTATCATATACATTTGTTAGTTGTTAATGGTTTCACTGATACTTTTAGCACCTGTTCACAAAACTTTGCAGTCTTCTCTGTGCAAAACTATTATTCTTTTTTTAAAATATATGACTGACTGACTTCTGCTGAGTGATCTTAGCAGCATTGTTATGCCTGTGTTTGTAATTTACAACTTTTAGGTTAAGGAATTTTTCAAGCCATCTGGATAGCCCGCTAGTTGCCAGGCCCCCGTTGTATATACTTATGTTGTGCTATTTAATCCTTCTGGGGGTTCTGTTGTGAGCACACTGTCCTGCACAAGCACATAAAAGCTGTTGTTTCAGCAAACATGTCCTCCCTTTGCCATGAGTTGAATGTTGTGTTTTTGAAATCTTGTCTGAGAGGATGAAAAGCTGAGCAAATACTGGCTTTTCCTTCCAGCTTCACAAGCAGCAGTGGGGTTGCAAACCCTGTCTCATTCAGGCTGTCTTTGTCTATAAACAGTTCAGACTGACTGGGACCCATTTATTGAATGCCCATTTCTTGGGTACATTAGTCAAATGCAATTGATTGTTATAATACACCATCAGCTCAGGCGAGGTAATCAGGCTCTTTAATTGAAGACGCTGCTTTAGAGGACAGAGTGTAAATCATTGAATACAAAGTCCAATAATTTTTTCACAGTGAATACAACGTGTCTATGATTGCCTCCTCAATACAGCCAGACAAAGGGAAGATGGCTGGTACTTAAGACTTGGCATTGGCGGATTTCCAAGAACCCTTTCCAAGATTCATCCTGTTTTCATCTTGTCTTGAAATGTTCTCATGTTTTCTTCTGAAACTTTGGTTCAGAGGGATGCTACTATGTATGTGCATACAAGATTACAATTAAAATATAAGAGAATTTATTAGCGAATACTTTGGAAGCCAAGACATCTTAGCTGTCATCCATTCATTCCCACCTTGGCATAGTCTTGAGACTGTATTTTATAGCAACTATCAGGGCAGCTCCAAGTCTTTCCTCCTTGGCCCTTCAGCTGTTACCCTCTTTTTCCTAATCTAACAATAGCATGTAATCATTTAGCGTAAACTAAAGATATGTACAAATGCAATGATTTAGATAAAGATTTCCTTGTTGTTGCCAGAGAATTTAAAGAAAAGAGTTTAAAGGCCAGTCCAAGACCTGGACGACAAGCTGCTCCCTGCTCCAGCCAAGCCTTGCTCTCCCAGGCTTCTGTTTTCCCCTTGCTGGGCTGTGGCATTAACCAGACCCATCCCATCACATACCCTGGCCTGGCCCCTCAGATGAAAGACCTTTCCTTTCTTCTGCACTTGCTGCCCGCACCCAGGGAAACACCCAGCCAGGTGCTTGTTTGAAGCCCTTTCTTCATTCCTGCTTTTAAGTCCCTGGAGAGCATTAGATAAGAGGGACCTTCCACCTTGGGAGAGTAGTGAATCTCCTAACTGTTGAAAAGGTGGTGCTGTATGATTCCAAACATAAAAATCTGCAATATGAATAGATCCTCATTAATTTTTGTTCTCTTGCTCTAAGATGATTCCTAAGAATAGGGGCAAATAGACTCTATGAAACTTTGTCTGTGACCCCTCCATGACTCAACCAGCATCACTAATTTGCTGTGGGAGTCAGGCTTTCAATCTGTTAGAATAAATTATTGAAGTTGCTGCTCTTTGCATTAGAATCTGCACTTCCAGTGAATTAATTCTATACCCACCTTGTGTGAAAAACAAAGCCTGAGGTTAGAGAGGCAGTAACACAGAGCTAGAGATGGGGGAGTCATGCTGTGGCTGTTTTTCCTCCCTCATTTTTGTCTAGGTCCTTCTGGCCCAACCTCCTTGTCTATCTACAGGGTTTCCTCCCCCAATTTTCTCTTTGCCCCACTCACCCACAAAGTCATGATGAATGGTTGCTGATGGACCCATTCACATTCTCACCTTTTCCCTCACCTTAAGACATTCTGATGTCCATGTGAGGTTGTATCTGGAAGGATTCTGTGCTCGCCGACTGCTGGAGACTTATTTCTAGTCTGTTAATTTCCAGGAAGGGCTAAAACCACAGCTGGGGCACATGGTGACTTTCCAGATTGCAGTGTGATTATTCCTGTGGTTGACATCCAAGTTTGTAGCACCTGGATGAGAAGTTTTCCACATTACATCCCCCTCTCAAATAAAGAAATCTAGTATCTTGTCAGTCAGCAAGGAAAGACCACTAGCTAGAAAAATGGGTAAATGAAACATATAGGCAACTCACATAAGACAAAATATAAATGGCGAGTAAATATGTAAATATCACTAGTAGTCATTAAAAAACAATTAGATAATGCTCTCTTCACTTGTCAAATTGGCAGAAATGGAAATAATTGATAAATATCCAGTGTTGAGGAGGCCGTGGCTCTGTTGGCTGGGGTACAAATATGAGTCACATTTTGCAGCTGAGTTAGCAGTATCTATACAAATTTAAAATGTATACACCGTTTGGGACAAACATTTCCAGGTCTGTATATTTATCCTCTGGAAATACTTGCATATGTTCACAAAGATATATGTAGAAGAGTCTTCTTTTCATCATTGTTTGTAATAGCAGATCAAATCATTGGGAAAACCTTAAATATCTGTCAGTAGGGGACTGGTAGAATAAATTATAATTCATCCATAACTTGAAATACTACAGAGCTGTTTCAAAGCTAAGGGAGATCTGTATAGAGTGATACGGAAAGATCTCCAAGCTACATTGTTAATTCAGAAACAGGAAGCTGCAGGACAATGCATATTGATCTGATTCCATTTGTTTTTTAAAATGAACCTAAAGCCATAGATCTGTCTAGGTACTTAGATACATAAGTAAGTGTACAAAGTTCTGAATAACACATACCAAACTATTAACAGTGAAGAGGAGAGAGGAATTGGGGCGAGGATGTGAAGTAGGACTATTAACTTTTTGCTCTGGATACTGCTAATCATTTAACTTTTTTATCATGAGAATGTATTATTTGTGTAATTCATTAAACATATAAAAATAGGAAAATTGCAACGAGGTTTTCTGGGAAAAGCACATTGAATGGCTTCCCAAAGAGACTGTTCAGGAAACCAAAGGTGGGCGTAATGGAAGTTTTTCCTTTTTTATTTTGGTAGCGGTTGGTCTATTTATATAGCGAAGCAGAAGAGAGGTTTTTTTCCATATGCTTTTCGGGAAACATACCTGCATGGCCTGCAGATGAGGTGGGCATGGTACACAGCGAGTCAGGGCAGCCACGTACCGGCAGATTGAAGAGAGTGGGGAAATCTCATGCCCACCTGCTGGTTGGAACCAGAGATTCCATCATTAAAGTTGGGTAAACATAAAG